TTTGATGATGGCAGAGATGCACACAAACAAGATCTGCTAGCGGTGCTGATCAGACTGCTAGGAAGGAGTTTGATCACTGTACTTGAAGGCCCTCATTAGCTTGTGTGTTTATAAAGTGCAGAGGCAATGCTACATTCAGGAAAGGCTTTCACAGTCTTTGTCTCCTTAAATTTAGAAATGCCATGATCCCTTCTGTTAAAAAGATGGTTCTAAGGACAAAAAAAAAACCCAAAACAAACAAAAACAAACCAACAAAACCCCAAACCCCAACCTCTATGCTTGAAAGCTAATTACTGTCTACTCTTCAAATGCAGACAAGTGGGCAGAGTACATTTTAGAAGAAGGGAACAGGTTTCAAGGAAATGCCACTCAGCGCTTGCAACATCTTTTCAGTATCCACAAATGTGCCTTTGAGCAGATACCAGAAGCACTGCTGGGATTAGTGCAGCAGCAGAACAGCGGGGGAAAAAAAACAGCGAGTTCAAAGTCTGGAAAACTTATTTTCTCCTTTTTCCATCTATCAGAGCAAGGGCTACTATTTTTGCTTATTTCACCTGTTTTATTGTACCAGCACATTGCAGACTGAGGAGGGAAGGGTAGTCAGCAGCAGGAAGCGTGGCACTTTGTCTGTGTGCCACTGCACAGTGCATGACGGCTCCATCCTGGTAGGCAGCCCAAATTCCCAGAGCGCCTGCCTACGCTGCCGGGTGCACGGGGCTCCCCGACGGTGACTGGGAGGACGTCTGAGGTGGAGCCCGGTGGGGAAGAAATCCTCCATACGGATACCACCAGTCAAACTCCCATGTAATGACTTGTGTGGCCTCAGGGGATCGGAGGCACCCCTGTTTTGGAAGCTGTTTCTTGTGCCCTGGGGCCCTGTAAATGGGAATAGAGCTCTATTTGTACAAATCCCCTATGGTTTTGTGCTTATATCCTGGAATATAAACTCCTCTCCTGCACTGGCCTCTTTTATCTGAATATATCCTGTGTGTCTGCTACTGTTCAGACAAAAAAGTCTTTATTGCCGTCACATATATTCGGCAGCCTTCCTTGATCCCAGAAAAGTGCTGTAAGACCTACACATGAAAAGCACTCTAGAAATATAAGAATTTTTCAAACAGTAAATATTGAAAGGGGGAAAAGGTAAGTCTTTGAGACTTGGGTCTTACAAAACAATTTAGCCAGGTTTTCTTGGCATGATTCCTTCTGCAGAAATGGGTATTTCGCCACCCACTGGAGCCAAAAGTCAAGAAGTGGATTAGGTCTGCTGCAATTGCTCTATCCTAATCACTCTTTTATTGCCCTGTGTAGAGCAGAAGGGATATTACAGAGCAGTATTTGGCTGAATGCTAAACCTTGGCAGTCTAGACCCCAGGCTGGTGCAAAGGAGCGTAGTTGCGTTGCTCCCAGTGAATTGGGAGAGGTTCACATCAGCTGAAGCCAGCGCCAGCTGATGATCTGGCCCTGTGTTTAAAGCATCATCGGATTTCAAAACAAAGCAAAACACCACAAATCTGTAGCAGCCCCGTGGTTCTGCCTTAGAGCTGCTCTGGCCCTCTTTGTCCCTTCTGGGCACCCAGTTCGTGAGGGGAGCAGGATCACGCATGGGTCAGATGATCCTCTTATTAAGGGCTCATCTTAGCTGCAGTAATAGCCAGGCAGCAGGCAGACAACGCTCGCTGCTCCTGTGACTCGCTCTCTGGGTTTTGGTGTGTGTGCTCATTTGTTTGCATCTCTTTTTGCTGAAAGTGAGCCCAGGTTGTGGACCACTTGTTCTCCTGAGTTGCAGTAAACTGGCACAGATAATGCTGGATGATGTCTTTAAAGCACAAGACCTCCACGGTTGCGTGGGACAGAGCTTGGAGGGGCACTGCCACGGGGGACAGTCACAAGCAAGGGCCCTGGAGGATCATGGAATGATCCAGGGAGGATCAGTTGCTCCTTCTCGGTTTCCTCATCCTGTTTAAGATCCCTTCTTGCATGAAGATTGGAAACGTAGTAACTGTCTTCATTGCATCTAGACAGCAGCGTGGATGGTACGCCCCAAAACAGATTGCATGCATGCAGTGGGAGCCTGCGGCACAGCAGACTCAGCAGGACTGAACGTGGTTGTTGTTGCAAAGGAGCCAATGATGAAAACTGGCTTTGTCATAAAAATGCAGATAGACATCCCTGTGATAGCCCACTCGGTGGCAAAGTGGCTCCAGCTCATGCCTTTAACCCCTGGATTTCCACCCTTTCTCTAAGTGAGGCTGGTGATGTGTGGTAATTAATACATGTTGAAATGTGACGGATGATGAGGATGGTATTTCTGGGAACTTTTTTCAGCAGCATTTTAAATCTGTTTCCTCCCTCCCTGCAACGCCATTAAAATTTAAGGGGAAAGTGGGAGGAATGGAAGAGAATTTGCTATTAAAGGCTTAATTCATTTTAACCTCAAGCATTAGCTAGAGCTTGTGCAAACCACTGGCAAGGCAATTAAAGTGATTTTTTTTAATGGGTTATTTTTCTCGCCTCATCAGTGTGGGAGCTAAAGATGCCGAACTGTGAGCTGCCTGGGCTAGGGGCCCATCGTTTTACTGTGCTCCTCTGATGCTTAATCCCTGATTGGGTTTCATGCAGGAGCACGAGGCATGACTGAGTCACAAGAGGAAAGGCACAACGATGCCCTTGAACAGAACATGGAGAGCAAAATGTTTGGGCTTCAGTCCCTGGGTCTCAAGCTTGAATCTCTCTTGGAAAAAGAAAAAAATAAAGGACTACTGGCATTGCCGTGTCCAGCTTATTTTGAAGTTGCTGGGTGTTTTGCAGGGTTAAGCTCCAGAGCTACCCAGGTTGCCAGGAGCAGCAAGGCTGTGGTGCCATGTACTGTACAAATCTGCTTAGCGTGCTTGAACTCATCTGGAGGCCAAAGCATCTCCTTTTGGTACTCCCAGGACTTGAGTCAGCTACTTTAAGTCTTGATCAGGCATGTCTACCTACGCCTCTTGGAGTGACAGGTGAAATGCTACCTCTGGGTCTCTGCATAGCAAATAGCTGCTGCATCCCAGGTGACAAAGGATGGCATAGTGGTGGATGGACCTAAAACTCCAGGCTCCTTTAGGGGACATTTCTCTAGCTGTCTCTATAAAGCCTCTGCAGCAGACTCTCCAAACGAGCGGGTAAGAGCAAGGAGGAAAGAAGAAGAACCTGAGTTCCAGCTTTTGTAGGGAACAAGCTGCTTATTGTGGGCACGACAGGAGGAGGAATTGCCCATTTCACACCGCCTGGTGTCATTAGATCGTGCAGGCAATTTAAACAGTCATTTAGACCAAGATTAGAAATGTGTTTGTCCATCTTTTTCAAGTTGCCCTCCGCATGCTGCAGGATTGGTGTGCGGAGGTGCGCTGTGCACCTTAGGGCACCAGGCCCAGACCCCCACGGATTTAGCCTGTTTGCTGCGAGTGGCTACGAGAGTCACGTTTGTCTCTCGAAGTAGAACACAGCCCAGGCTTTTCGTTACCTCCAGTGCAGTAGGAGGAAGTCAAAGTGGGAGGAAGCTTGAGTCCATTTCACAACACAGCATTGAAGAAATGCAGGGGCAGGCTCTAGCTAAATTTGTTCCTTGTCTAACTCAGCCAAGAGAAACCAGAGATGAATCTGGCATGTTTTTTCTGTGCCGTGTTCTCTCACTCATTCAGCTACTGCTTGCCTGATGCACCTCTGTTGCCTTGCAGTCTCTCTCCGCATAGGTGGTTAGAGGAATGCTTCCTAAAAATAGCTGTCTGGTTTGATGTCTTTCTGGTATTACTCTGTGTAGCATGAAAAATCTGCTCAGATGGGCTGTCCAGCCCATTGATGTTCCTTTAAAATAAAGTTAAGCCGCATAATCTCATTATGGTAGTAGGCGATTATACTGAGAACAAGTATTAGCAGTGGTCGAGCAAAGCCTTTTATTCCCCATGTATGATGGCAATGGCTAAAAGTCACTAGCGGCGTTTTGTTTTTGCGCAGGCTATTTTAGGACCAGGACTTGCAACGTTTTTTTTTCTTTTAATTCTCTAGAAAAGTCTCCCGTGTTATTTTTGACAACGCCAGCACGTTTCTTCCACTGCCGCTGGCTGTCTGCTGTGCCAGCCGCAAGCATCCCATGAGTATGCACCACAGTCTCCCAAAATCTCAAAACTCAGAGGTATTAAAGTGAAGCCTTTTTCCGGGGGGAGAAGCGGGGAAGCTTTGTAGTGCTAAGTTATTAGCCTGGGAATCCTGATCTTCAGCATCTGTTTGCAGCTGTGGGACCTCGTCTCCCTGGCTCTTTGGGGAGTCAGCCCAAGGAGAGAGCTCAAGTCTGGCACGTTCCCTGCCCCGAGTCCCCATCCTTGGGAAGGCCCTGACTCCTTTCGTAAGGGAAAGGCAAACGGGATGTATGATGGCAGACAGACGAGTTATGGAGTTCAGCCATGGAGACCTGCAGTTTTGGCAGTGCTGGGAGACCACGCGGGCCAGAGCTGTGTGCCGGGAAAGCCTGACCGAGTGAGGGCTTGTATCTGTACGGAGGGAGGGTGAAGGCAGTGTGGACTGGAAACTAGGCTCAAGCCCTTGAACAGGGGTATCGATGCACTCTGGGAGGCTTAATTGCCTGAACCCCTGTATGTGAGAATCTCATAAACGTTTAATACCAAGGGCTGGCTCTATGACAGTCGCCAAATATCACTGAACTTATGGTAAAATACCACGTCTGGACAATCGCATGGATTTACGGTTCGTTCTCTTCAATGTTTGAACCTATGGCGGTGCTGTTTGTGATGGATTGCAGGTCACGATTCCTTGTGTGCGTTATCTTGTTCAACAGATCGTTTGTGCAATAAAATACAGCTCTGCCTGCCTCCCAGCACGTTCTAGCTCACAGCGTGTCTCCGAAACCTAAAGCCTATGGCAAAGAGCAGCGGTCTGAGGCTCTGCTTTGCTCAGCATAAGCACTCCTTCTTCTCAAGGCTGCAAGCAGGCAAGGAGCATAAGCAGTCAGGAGGAAGGTCAGTCCAACGAAGGCTTTCATCAGGCTCCCAGAAGGCTGTTTGTAGGTGGAAGTTGCTGTCGTTTGCTCCTTGACACCTCAAGGATGAAGGAGGCAGGAGCCTGCACTTGAAGGTACACTGCCACTGAGCTGCTGTTGATTCCTTGAGCCTTTAGTGTGTGCGTGGTGCAACACGTGGGGCGTGAAGGGGTGTCACCGTTACAGTTCTGGCTCGGTCACTGGGCAAGGCTCTGCATATCACGTTTTTACCCCCTTTCCTCTCTTACCCAATTGGAAGTCGCTGGAGCAGCTCTCTTCCTGGTGCTTTGGGACTGCAGTAGCGTGGGGACATGGCTGTGGGACTGCAGTGGGAGGAGTGAAGATGGGAGCGTTTTATGAAATGATGTCTGCAGACAAATGCAGTTCTTTTTCTCTCTCTCTAAAGCCTAGCCTCATTGTATTTCTGAGCTAAGCATGCAGACCTGCAAGTGGTCCAGCCCAGGGCCCCAGAATAAACTACAATACAGCATGAGATTTGTCAGTGAACAGGGAGATTAAGGGAGGGGTTAGGCATGCTCCCAGAGACACAAATGCATGCACTTTTGCAAGATGACAGCTTAGTGTGTTGAAATGAAATCTCTAGGGCTGTTTATATAAATATATATATTTATATATATATATATTTTTTTCTCTTTCTACTTTTGCTTACCTTGCTTCAGCCCCACCAGTGATAACGCAGGCAAAATGCAAACCCAGGGCATCTTTGGGAAAGAAGGCCCAGCTCTCTCTGAAGAAGCATCTGGCCTCTAAGCTGCAAAGGTTGGATTATCTCATTTCTTTCTTAGAAGAGGAGATTGTAAATGCCAAACCAAAAGGGCAAAGTGATTAGATATCGTGTTTCTACTCTGGTATATGGTTAGTGGAGAGATTTCTGAGTCATTGATTCTAGTAATTGTTGTATTTAAGTAAAGGAAATAATTCTGCTGTTTTAAAGTCAGTATATTTTTAGCCATTAAAAGCAAGCATGATATGGAAACTGCAGCTATTAAACCTGTCGCTGAAGAATGAGCAGGATAGAGGCTACAGGTGCACCAGAGGTACCGGGTGAGACGGCTGTCTGCCTCTTGTGAAGTACTTGACACGGCCAGGAAGGAAAGCTGCTTGTGCAGCGTATGGACCTCAGGGGATGATTGTGAATAACTTGTTAGATGTAAAGCTAGGTTTTTCCAGCTTAACAATAGCGTGTCAAACAAATGTTTTATTTAGATTAATGGCAGAAGGTATGTTGGCTGTTTGGTGTATGCACTAAACCAACATTTGTTCAAGGCATTATCTAGTTGCTCCCTGGCTGCAAACCAGAAAGCCCAATGTTTTCTCACGTGTTCAGTCCCTCTGGGAAAGCGACCTTTCCGCCCTTCTTATCTGTATTCAACAATTTGAAGCTCCTAGCCACGGTTGATTTACTGAGACTGTCTGTCTGACTGGGGGTCAGCTGAGTAGCTTTTCTGCACTATTGAAAATCTGTGCAAGTGTCAGCAAGTTCTTCATTGTTTTCTGTTCTTTCCGTGAACTAATGAGTGTTGTCTGAGTCTTTTTTTTTTTTTTTGCTAGTATAATTTGGCCTGGCCACAAGTGTGCTAGCCATTAAAATCAAAGGTCTTATTTTCATGGAAGAGGTTTGGGTAGCATAGGTGGCTTTGTCATATTGAGTGATACTGCTTTCTTCCACTGTGGTGATGTGTATGTGAAAATTTTATATGTTTTTCTACCATGCAAGCCAAGATTCTGGGATCATTTTTATGCTACTTCCCTTTGGCTCTACCTTCTCCTTCAGGCTCTTCCCACACAGTCACACTGAGTCCCCCCCTTTTGTCCGGGGGGACGGGTTCAGTTGCAGCAGAGGTGCAGTCCTATTTGGTGCCTTCTGGCCTTTGGCTGGTCGCAGCACTGCTTGTCTCCTTGCTTCTCACTGGGACCAGGGTTGCTGCGGGTTTCCATTAGAATCTTGGTATTAAAGAAATCTGAAAAATACTATTTTGGGGGAAATAGGTAGGTGATCCGTTCCTGAGCCGAGATGAGACTCCTCAGAGCCAGCAGTGCCGGAGCAGCGGGTGCCATACGTAGCCTCCCCGTCCCTAATTTCTGACTGTTGTGCTAGAAACAGCTCTTGCGTAAGAGGGTCTGATCCTGCCCGGGAGGAGGACTTTGCCTGTCATAATACAAAGGAGCTTCACTCGGAGGAGCTCAGAACAGTAGCCCTCTAATTTGGCAGGTTGCTTTTGTACGGGTCCAAGTGCTGCCTGGTGCCAGCAGCTCAGTGCACAAGCTTGTGCCGCTTCCAGGGGCCTTGGGACAGGACGTCTCCGATGGAGACGCTGGCACGGAGGTAGCTGAGGACACAGCTGCACACCAGCATCACTTGCTCCTTAGCAGGAGGGGCTGATGGGTGGGGATGGAGCCCCCCCACCATGATAGAAACCTCATGGTGCTGCGAGGTCCAAGAGATTTCAAAGCAGAGAACAAGATCCTTCAGTTTTTGGCTTAAGCTGAAGAAAACTAGGAAGACGTTCCTGCCGAACTTAGCAGCGGGAGCCCTTGTTCATTGATGGGAGTGTTTAATTAAGTTTCAGCTTTAAAACTATCGCTGCTCGGGGAGCGTAAGAGCTACAGGAAACTTGCCCGTTTTTCCTTCTACTTCGGTAACTCCACTGCTGTGACGAAGATTTTGAGAGACTCCTTCAAAATGTGCGAGTCCTTCACAGGAGCGCTCTGTGCTGAATTTCCCTTCTGCGCCGGCTTCGTTCACCCAGTGCCGGTCTGCGTGGCATCGTCCGCTCCTTGGGTCTTTGCTTCTTGGCTCCATCGGGGAGGACGTGACCTTTGCTGTGCTTGTGCACCACTGCGCCCAGCAGGGATGGTACTGCAGCACCGATAATGATGAGGCGGTGATAAAGGCCGTTTGAAAGGCTTTTGTAAGGGGAGGAGGCGAGGGAACTGAAAAAATGAATCGCATAACGCTCCTGCCCCATCTACCCGATATGGGAATCAATAAGCTAAGTCCATACAATGAACGCAGCGGTAAAACCCCTGCTGGACCAGCCTCACTTTGCAGCACGGTGTTTAATCTTGGGCCCGAGGCTCCTGGTTTGCAGGATCTGGCCCTTTATATTACACGCTCTCAAGCGAGACATCGCTCTGTTATCCTTCTTTAATTAGCACCTGTGGTGCTTTGTTAATAACAGACAGCTTGTTACAACACTTGAGCTTTAATGGATTCCTCCAATGAGAGAGCACGCCAGCGCTTTTAGCAGGTTCAGTAAAAAGGAAAAGCTTCTTACGACAAAGCGTTCAGCTCTTATCCGGGGAGACGCTGGAAGTGCTTGGAGAATTGCACGCGTCTTCTGGAAACGATAGCCGAGAGCCGGTTCGTTTCTCGTAGACAGGGGATGGGAATAAAGTTAGCACTCAGTTCCCCTAAAACTAGTGTCCCTCCCTGCCTTCCGACACTACAGCAAAATCCTTCTATCAAGCTCATAAGCAAAAGATCCCGGTGACTCTGCCGGTATAAACAAACCAGATGTATTCTCCTGCATGTCATCTTCATGTAACCGCAAGTTTTATCACTCCCTGATCCTGACCCTCAGGATAGATCCTCTATTATGCTTTAAGACCTGTCTGCTGTGTTGTATTGCAGTTTGCCCTGAAGCTCCCATTGAATTTGGCTTTTAAAATGGATGGCAGATCATGGCCTCATCAGTTGAAAAACCCTTGGGAATCTGGTTCCTAGTTGCATGAAAATAGACTATGTTTTCCATTATCTGCAGCTAAATGGCATCGCTGCTGTTTTTATGACTGCTGTTGGTCTTTGCAGCTATTTTCTTTAGGCCACTGAAACAATGCTTTCTCATTACAACAGCTTTGCGGATGAGAAGAGAGAAAAACTGGGATTGCTCATGATGAGGCTGGCATCCTGAAATTCCCACTTCGTTGTCTGCAGTGCTCCTCCAGAATCCAGCCCTTTTTTCAGAAAGACATATTTTAGGTAGAGTTAGATGTTTGTTTCCCCATTGCAGTATCTGGGCTTCAGCTGTTCAGATGACTCAGGAGCAGCATCCAGATTGCACACACGCTTTACTTCATTTCTTTAGTGCTTCTAATGAAATAACCAGGCAGAAGTGATGTTTAATTTGGATAATGGAGAGCACTGCTAAAGTAACTCTGGTAGCCCTTCAGAGAAAGTTATTTAACCTTTCATTGTGTGATCCTTTGGATTTCCTGTTGTCTCGATTGCCCAAGACAGAGATAAAAAGGACAAATGGAGGCAACTGTCAATTCCCCAGGAACGTGTTGCCTGTTGACAGCTCTGCTGTTGTACCCCTCTCCATATTGTGCAGGAGGTGGGCAGCCAGGGCCAGGTCTTCACTCTCAACGGTTCGGTAAGAGGTGCCATGCCACAACAGTGAGGACAGGAAGGTGGCTTGCCATCTTCCAGGGCCATCCTCTCAGAAGTGATTTCTGCCTTGGCACCTCTGTGATGGTAGAAGGTGCTGCAGGGTCATCACTCAGCAGGGCATTGAAAGAAACTGGGGGGGCCATGGAGCTTGTGGCAGTTTGCTGTCATTTGTATGCCAAAGGGGCTTCTGGGCTCCCCAAGTCCCTCGTTTGCCTGTTGTCTTCTCATCCTACTGGGTAACAGGGACACCATACTCCCACTGTTAGCACACGTCCTTGTGGTGTGGTGGCCAGGACAGGATTTTTTTCATTTTCCATGAGTCCATGTTGTCTTGCTAAAGTTTTCCTTTTAATCTGCAGATGAAATGCATTGTGTAACACACTGGAAGCAAATCGGAATCCAGGTATTGTTATTTTCCACCTTCCCCAGTTTCAGCCTGGAGGAGGAGAATTGCATCTCTACACTGCTGTCTGCTCCAAAACTTTCTGCAAAACATACTTGTCTGCTCATTGGTCAGTTCACATCCAGCCCAACAGTTACTGGGTTTCTCTTGGCGTCCGTTCCCTATTCCAGTCCAGCCACGCGTGCCCCCAGACCCGGCACCATGCCCCTATGCCTTCTGGTGCGGGAGCAGGTTTGAGCAGAGTGGTGGAATTCCCTTGCCAACAGAGGAGTGGGTGGAAGGACGCAGAAAGGGGCCTGCAGTGTCATGAGCATGTCATGAGTTAAATCCATGCCTGCTGCAGTAGTGTAGGTGTTACTGCCTGTACCCAGCAAGACACAAAATAAGACTCTTCTCTTTTAGTGATATGCATTGCGTTTTCTCTGTCAGTGCTTCTAGAACTGTACTAATTATTAGTAATTAAGCTGACAAGGCAAAACTTGGTTTCCTTCCATTGCATACAAAAGAAGCCAAAAAGGTGACAGTGGTAGCACTCTCTTCCTCCAAGATTTCTCCCTACCGCCAACCATTTGGCATTCTTCTAGCACAATGTCCCATCCAAGCCTACCTGGTCCCAGCTCTCCCTGTTGCGTTTGGTTCATATTGCTGAAAAGGTTAGAAACGTGCTCAGTTCTGGCTGGCGTAAACTTCCCAGTATGGTGGGGTTGAGAGCTGATATACAGAGACAGAGCTCAAATCCAACATGGCACGTTGCCTTGCTGTCGAAGCTTGTTGGCCCAAGTGCTGTTTCAGATAGGCACAGTTCCCTTTGCCACGAGAAGTTTTTTGCTACTTTTTTCTTAGTTTTCTCTGCTCAGACATCCAGGAAACCTGTGCCTAGACTGAGGTCTTTAGTGCGAGAAGTACGTCCTACTGTCTAGTGGCAGCTGAAATAAAGCAGTCCTGAAGACACATAACTTATGG